AATACTTTACCTTCTAAAGGAGTGTCTAAAAGATTGGCATGCTTTGTTTTCACATGAGTTTCCATATCTTGACTACAAACTTCTATTTTCCCACAGAATGGACATTCAGGAGGACTATACATCGTTTCATAAATTGGTCCTTTTATTTTGGTCAGATCAAATTGTTTTTCCCTACTTTTCAGCAATTTTCTAGATTCAGTTAAGTTCTCTGAACAAAAGGCTTTGTGTTTCAAAGTACCATCCTCAGGCAGGCTTTGAGCTGAACTTTTCGGATGATTAGATGCACAAGCTGACTGAAGATTTGAATTAACTTCCATTCTATGCTGTAGAGTATTGTCCTTTTTGCTATCTGAAGTTCCATACTGCATTGTATTGATCCTCTCGAAGTTTCTTTCCAGTTCATTCTGCTCAAAATGAGCAGTTGCAATATGAAAACACATTTCATCATAATTTACACCTGACAACTTGCAAAATGGGCAGATAACTTCATTTTCCATATGGACAATTAGAAGGTGAGTCTTCATGTCTGGTTCTGAGGCTACTGTTTCACCACAAATATCACACAAAAACATGATACCACAGGTAACTAGAAAAGAACACAGTATTATTTTAAGTTCGAAAGTATGAGTTGAAGAAAAATAAGATACATCTTATAATTGGGGACAATGATACTTAGTGATTATTTCGATGAAGTAATTTTCCATATAAGGAATCTTGGTGGTACAGTGGTTAAGTGCTTGGCTCCTAACTGAAACGTCAGCAGTTCGAACCCATCAGCCACTCAGCAGAAGAAAGATGTGGCAGTCTGGTTCTGTAAAGATTTACAGCCTTGGAGACGCTACAGGGCAGTTATACTCTGTCCTACCGGGTCACTAAGAGTCGGAATTGACTTGATGGCAGTGGGTTTGGTTTTTGTTTTTAATTTTCCATATACTTGTTATTCCTCAAATATACAAACTTATTTATACATCTCAACCAAAATTTCACTACAGTATTTTAAGTTTACTGTTTCAATAAAACAAAGGTAATAATACTGCAAACTGAAATAATTTTAAAATAAAATATTTCAAAAAGTGTGGTCTTAAGTGGAGGAAAAAATAACATTTAAAAAATTGTCCACATAAGATTAAGTCAGGTTAGAGAAAACATAGAGAAGAAATTTATCAATTGATGTATCTAAATACAGATCCTTAAAGTTGATTATGATAGTGTAAGCAAACACATCTTAATAATAGCAGTTAACACTTAAAAATAATCCGAGAAGCTGGACTGCATGAAGAATGGGGCATCAGAATTGGAGGAAGACTCATTAACAATCTGCGATAGACAGATGACACAATCTTGCTTGCTGAAAGTGAAAAAGACTTGTAGCCCGTACTGATGAAGATCAAAGACTATAGCTTTCAGTATGGATGACACCTCGAACAAGTCTTGGAGGAAGTACAGCCAGAATGTTCTTTAGAATCAAGGACGGTGAGACTGTGGACATGTTACCAGGAGGGCCAAGTCCCTGGATAAGGACATCATGCTTGGTAAGGTCACTGAAAGAGAGGAAGACCCTCGACGAGATGGACTGACACTGTGGCTGCAACAATGGGCTCAAACGTAGCAACGATTGTGAGGATGGTGCAGGGCTGGGCTGTTCGTTCTGTTGTACATAGGGGCGCTATGAGTCAGAATAGACTGGCCAACACCTAACAACAACATATAAAGAGCTAGACCGATCCCTAGAAAAGGACATCATGTTTGGTAAACTAGAGGGTCAGCTGAAACTAGGGAAACCCTCAAGACACAAGACACAAGACACAAGAGCCACAACTACAGGCTCAAACATATCAAAGATCATGAGGATGGTGCAGGCCAGGGCAACGTTTCCTTCAGTTAACACATAAAGACCCTTAAGTAGGAGTTGATACAAAGGCAACTAACAACATTATCATTCCACACATGACAAAACCCTGGCTCAGAGAGGTCACCACAGCTAGAAATCATGGAAGCCAAAACGTTAACCCAGTCAGGCTTCAGAGCCTATACACTCAACCCAAAGAATAAAAGTAGAGTGGTATAGCAGAAAAGCGCACTGACTTGAGTCATAATCTCAGACTACGTAATTTTAGATAAAACATCTCACCTCGTTGAGGTCCGGTCTGTAAAATGAATTATACTAGATCAGCAGTCACTTTTAGATTTTATGGACTAAGAAAGTACTGGCTACCAACATTAAGGTCATTTTGCTAAGAAAGAAGAATTTTTGATAAGCAACCACAGCCACTTTCTACTACACATCATCGTTTAGGTAAGAACTATTAAAAATAAAAACAAAAACAAAACCACAGGAAAAAATTAATATCTTCAATTAAATAAACGTAGCTTTATGAGACTCCCTACATTGTCCTTACTTTTTTTCTCTCCAAAGAAGCGAAAGTCTGATTTTAGAAGGAAGTTCTTCCAAACTTCTAGTGGAAAGAACGTCACACCCGGAGAGTTTCTTCTCTTCTGATGGCTGGGACACGGCCAGACACTGAAGGAAACACTTGACTCCCAAACATTTGCGTCAGAAGTGCGTGAGAGATGTACGGAGGCCTACGGCAGGTGCCGGGGCGTGTACGAGGCGCGGGAGGCGGTAAGGGCTGCAATGTCTTAAGGGTGGGAATGCCGTAAGCCCGAGTCTGCCCAAAGTCCCGCTCCAAGTCTCAAGCCAGAACACGAAACCAGCCCAAAAGCTAACTGGATCAAAGGGCTGGGGGCGCCAGATCGTATCTGCCAGGAGATACCGCTAACACAGTGCACTCCACCTGGCTTCCTCTTCAGGTCCCGCCACTACCACCCTCCACCCCCGCCCAGAGAGGAGTGCGAGCACAGCGATTAATACCTCTCCTGGCCTGACAGCTAAGGCCAGTCCTTCCCAATACCCGTAGATTCACAGTTAACCGACGAAAGGATCAGCGGGTCCAGGAAACCTTGACCTCGAGTACCACATTCAAAATTTCTCTTCCTCAGTACCCCGGAAGGGAAGGAATCCCAGCATGCACCATTCCACGCCGGTCTGGGCTGTAGTGCATTCTGGGGGTTGTAGTTATTTTTTTGCCTCACTCGCATACACCGTTACTTTCCACTTTTAATAACCGAAAGGGAACTATACTCCGGTCTTTGAAACGCGAGCTGAGTGAATGCCTAAAACAGATCTTAGGGTATACATGCGTCTACAGTTCCCATTGTTCAGGGCCTGGCTGACTAGAACTCTGTTGTCTTTGTTAGTTGCTATGGAGTCAGTTTCAACTTATGTCTACCCCATGTGTGCAGAGTAGAAGTGCTCCATAGGATTTGCAAGCCTGTGACCTTTCAGAAGCATATGCCAAGCCTGTCTTCCCAGGCACCTCTAGGTGAGTTCCAACCGACAGCCTTTTGGCTAGTAGTTGAGCGCTTAATCATTAGTGCACTCTATTGTAGTATTAGTAAAGATCTTATAATGCTACTAAGTATCAAGCCCCAAACTAAGCTCTGCAGATGGATTACTAAAACACTTTCTTTCGTTAAAGGTACAAGCTCATAAGTATCTTATTTTCGTGGTTGAGTATTTATTTCATTAAGCAAATATTTAATGAGTGTCTGCTTGGAGTTGGGATTGCAACAGTAATCAAAATACAAAAACACCCAACCCTCTTCAAGAGTCTTCCTCTTTTGCACCCTCTACCTTACCAAGCATGATGTCCTTCTCCAGGAACTGATCCCTCCTGGTAACATGTCCAAAGTACGTGAGACGATGTCTCACCATCCTCACTTCCAAGGAGCGCTCTGGCTGTACTTCTTGCAAGACAGACTCGTTATTCTTCGGGCACTTCATGGTATAGCCAATATTCTTTGCCAATATCAAGCAAATGAACACTATTTATATAAACATCAAATACTGATTTAACCAAAATAATTTTGATAAAACTATA